CCCCCCCCCAAAAAAAAATAAAAAAAAGAATCATAAGTTGGAACCATGAAAAGAAAATCTTTATTAATATATAGTATTAAAATCTGAGCAAATCCTGAAAACTCGTGTCAAACCACAACCATAGAGGGTGTCTAGCAGTATTGCCACGTATGATATCTAAACAAGATTTAAAATGACATCCGTTTTTTTAAGAACACAGATCAAAACAGTATGTTAAAAAAGATGACTCAACGTGAAATTACATCTGCCAAGTCATGATCAGTATTATAAATACCTCGGTATCAAAAATAAAAAAGAACAAGAGACAAAATCCAAGATGTCGAAGCAGCATCTTCTGGAAGGAATCATACAAAGTCTTCTGCTTATTTATTTGGGAGGTAGTAAATAAGAGATTTATATCTTACCTTTCATAAGAACTGTTCCTAATATTCCCATGAAGTTGAATATCGCGCCATATCCATATAAAAACAAATTCTGCAATTCAATAGAAAATCCCCCATTCAGAGACAGACCCAATTATTGAGTAAGCAGATATAACGAACATTAAGAAACAGGAAATATTTGTATAAGCTTAGAATTCTATGACTTCAACATCAAAAAAGAGAAGCTCTGAGATAAGGGAAATGCCACTCAATATCCCACATCCATTATCCAAAAGTCTAATCAAACGGAAATAGTTAGTGATAAAATACTTTATTGGCTACAGGTGTGGACAGTTATTCTTACTTTTCTACGTAGAGAACGTATGAAACATAGAAACGTATCTATAGCTTATTCTCCAGATTAAATTTAACACAAGAATAGTATCATTACCTGAAGATAGATGCTAGTATCATACTGGCTCTTCAAAGCATATTCGTTATAAACAGAAGCTAGAGATGGAACAGTTACCTGTAAAAAAAAAATTCAAATTACTTGAAAATATATAGAAACCAAAGGAAGAAGAACTAGCTTGTATGTAAGACAGTGCTAGCATTCTAGCCATGAAACAAGATCCACTTACAAAAATCAGTGTGCAGACATATGTGCTCATGGTAACTGTGAGACCCAAAGTGGAGGTATCAGGCATGGACCGCAACTGATTTACACTTATGCCAATAAGCAGCAGAGCAAGTGCTTCCCACTGGGGCAAATAAAAAATCAATATCAGTTCCATTAACTTCTTTGTTCTTCAATGGTAAGCCTAGATGGATGTTCAAGCCTTTCAGGCATAAGATACGGAGATCTACCTTTTGATTTAGATGCTATTTTGAGTAGAATGTCTAAGACATTAAAAAAACAATTATGTGAAAGGTTTCTCCATACTGTTATCTCTTCATTGGTGAGGGAGACAAGACAAGCTTGAGAAACTAGTATAACATTCTAAGATAAGAAATAGATATTTAACACTTTTGTACTCTTTTTAACTTTTTCAATCATTAATGAAAATCTTTATTCCTTGTGGACAGGAAATAGTCCTTAGCCATTTGCTGGTGGTGATCACAATGTAATTGATGGAAACTTCCAGCCTCTCATTTCTCATCTCTAAAATATCAGCACCAAAAAAGATTCCGTTTTTATAACTTGAAGAATCAAATGGCAGTGGGTTTCTTGAAAAAGTAAATATGAAAGCCAACCCATAAAGGAAATAAAGAGCAACGGAATCCATCCCCTACTCCCTAACCTATTGTCGAAGGACTGAGTTGGAACCTTTTGTTTAAAGAAAATTTTAATAAAAGAGAGTAGTTCATGATGCCAAAGGTTGAAACAAACAGAGTCGTTCCAATTCCATCATCCCAATAAAAGGTGTCACTTAGACACCTGGTGCCAGCTTTCTTGCAAATCTCCAAGTACATCTTACCCCTCCCTCCTTATTTCTGTCGAAGAATATGGAAGAGAAAGGTTCTAGAGAAAGTGAAGTTCTTCCTTCAGATGGTTGCCTTGGAAAAATTCAAACCAAATGACATCACAAAAGATTACTTTGTAGGATCTTTCTCCTAGTTGTACCATGAAGGTGAAGATTTCCAGAAATTCAATCAACCAAAACTCTGTTGTTGGTGTTCCCTTCCAAAACATAATTATTCCCTTTTGTGATCAATGTCAATCAGACAGCTCTTAAGCTCAATGTCCTCTAATCTGCCTTTATTTTGTAGCTTTCCATATTTTAGCAAAAATATATTTTTTTGGTCTTCTAACAATTTGGTTTATCGTTTAAATAGTAGTAATAATAATAATTCCTGATGCAGAAAAATGAAACAAGTAAAAGGTAATAAATAACCGAAGGTAATTACTTTATATATTTGATTTAATAAATATATGCATAAACAAGTGGATGTTATATTAGAACTAATTGCTAAACAATTGATACTTTTTCTCCACCCTCCATTGTAATAGCTCAACACATTGAGAAGGCAAAGATGGCAGAAGAAATATACTAACCTGAATAATAGAAAAATGTCGTCTCATAATCAACTTTAGCAAGACAGCAATCACCAAAACCTGAACAGGCCGTATCAATTAAAATATTATTTTTGGAAAATCATATAAGATATATATGTTTTAAGGTTAAGACAAGCACAATTAGAGAATCCTCATCAATAATCAGACTCGTCACCCTATGTCCTAAGAGAAACCATTTTCTTCAAAGTCTCTATGTTTTACACACTCCACCAACCATTTTTTTAGTATCTAAACCTAAACTGAAATTAGAAGAGTGGATGAACAACTTGGTTCTAGTACTAGCCTACTGCTACACAGGAAGAAAATAAAAATTAGTTGCTGGAACTTTTCCTTTGAAGTAATGATGATACATACAAAGAAAATGATGATGAAAGAGTTATATGAGAAACCTTTCACCTCCTACAGTGTTTTGATGCGCATGATGGATTTTTTTCCCTTCCAACTCATTCATATGCTTTACCATAACACAACAAGTCGTACCATTTTAAAAGCAGAGTAGAATATAATATGTAAGGGTGAAAATATATCCAACGGTTATCAATCAAAAACCAGCATTGATTCAAGCATGTGTTATAGTCAAACCATTGTACTAAAACACCAATTCCACAAGAATTCATTTTTCATGCATTGTTATACATGCGTACAATATATATTTATATCTAAATTTCTGATATATGTTGTAGAAGTCCACCACAACAAACAGAGGATGGTGCAACAAGCATTATAGTTAAAGCACACATCAACTAATATCCCACAATGATTGTGCAAGCACTCACTGTTTATCCATTGTTGTATTTCATATATGTAGTATGGGCATCAAACCACCATTTGCTTTGTGGCCACAATGGTGTGTTCTTTGCAGATGACACGAGGAGGATCTTCACCATCTCTTATGGGGTGACTATCTTTGAAGTTGATGCTTTAGTTTGTTTGGGGTGGCATGGGTGCATCATAGGTATGGTTGTTCTTTGATAGAGAAATTCTAATGAACTCTTCTGTTCATAATAAGGGAAGAGGGTTATGGCAGGCATGTTATTTCAAGACTTCGGAGTGTGTGGCTTGAGGAACAGTAAGGTTTTTATGGTGATTGAGAGATCTCTAGCGAATATGTCAGAGGTGGTGAGATCTAATGCCTCTTGATTCGCTTCTGCGAAACAACCATCTTGTAACTATCGGTTAGATCTTATTCTTTTGGATTGAAATCCTTTCTAGTAGGTTGTGGTGGGTTGTTTTTGTGGGCACGTTTTTTTCTTTTTGTGTGTGCGTCCCTGTACATTCTTTCATTTTTCTTAATGAAAACTAGATTTCTTAAAATAAATAAAAAGAAAATAATAGACCAATATTCCATGATTACTACCTATGTGCATAACATATAAAGTCAAAATATTCGAGTAGTCACCCACCAAAATAACATTATGACTACAAAGGAATTTAAGTTTACAATTTTCCCTTTTCACCTACTAGGTAAAGCCATGGTGGTCAATGTATGTCCTTCCATGTACACTACTCTTAGTTCTTAATTTTTTTTTTTTAAAAATGGAGTTTTCATTGGAAATAGGAATTGGATAATTAGTAATTCTTGAGAAGGAAGGGAAATGCCCATAAAGGTTATTACTTATTGGACATAACCATATCGGTACAGCATTACAAAACAGCCTTGTCCAAACAAACAAGAACCTTCAAGTAAGATGAGAGTATTAGCGCATCAAGAGAGAGTCGCCAATCTTTTGAGTTAAGCACAACAGAAGTTATAATACCACAACAAATACAGTAATTTACTGATAGACACAATACCTTTAAATTGCTAAGCATCTTCACAGTTGCAGGGTTGAAAGATAGCTGTATAGACAGTCACATGGTTAGTTATACATATCTAAAATTGTTCAAAAACAATATAATCTGACAGTGTAAAGTAATTCCAAGATGTATCCAGTTAAAAATAAATAAAAAAATAAAAAATAAAAACAGAATTTATAAAATAAAACACTTCAATAGATATGAACAGTATACCTGCATGATAAACTTCAGGTAATTATTGATTGCATAGAGAAGTGCTGGCACAGCGAGAAGCACATTGTTACGTGCTGCCTGCAAAAGAAAACAAGACATCTTTGGCATTATACCTAGAAAAAGCCCCGGAACGGAAGAATAAATAAAGAAAAAAACAATATAATATTCATTAAAAAGAATCTAAAGTTTACATTAAATTACTACCCTCAAGTAGAAGCGTCCATCCTTAAAGGAGACTAAAACCTTTCAGCACAAGTAAACTATTAAATGATCAGGAGAATCAAACAGCTTCAACAAGCAAACTAATTTCAAACCAACAATTAAGTACCAAACTCTCAACAATTAATTACCAAACCCTCAGTAAATTTTAAATTAAAAAAACAAAAAATAAAATAAAAAAGGAAAATTGGCGCCAGAACTTATGGGAGTTAAGAGTTTAACCGACACATTTGCAAGACGATATTTGGGACTTTTAGTAGGGGGACAAGGCTTGGAAGGAGTCTGAGGCGTTTTAGACAGGTAATTTGGTTTTTAAGCAACTGATTAAGAAACTTGATGATTAAATCTCGTCTGAAAAATCGCATATTTTGGAACCCTTTATCAGAGCAATAATTGTGCACCAATTAGTGAATTATCTAGGAGAAATGGTAAAATTGATTGAGGGGTTTGAATCCACGAAGAATAGGTAAGAGTTTAGTCGAAGTAATTTAAGGAAATAAGATTGGAAAGGCCCTCGTCGAAGGTCAAATTGGGAAGAAATTTGGAAAAAAAACACCCATAAACTTTAGATGCACAATTCTTCTTGCGAAGTGAACCCTTTTGGAATGTTTTTTTTATGTGGAATCCTCTAGATGAGCTCTCCGATTTTGATGATAGAACCAAGTTGAATTTGAACCATAGGAAGAAAACCAGTTTGGATAGAGAGGGTAATCACATTCTACAGGCAACTGGAGCTTGAAGACAAGGCATGTGGGTGCACGTTGAGGAGCAAATGGGCGAGTTGGTTGCACACGTGTAGGTGTATGGAGTGCGTGAGGTTTGTCCACTTTTAACTATTTGACCTCCGTTTGTTTGTTTTTCGATCCAATTCCAACTCATTCCTAATTTCTCTCATTGTAGAACTCATTTGAGGAATTTGGAGAAATTTGGATCAAGTTAGAAGTTGATTTGCATAGAAAGGAACTCAACACATGTAACACATAGTTGTTCGGAGATTCCGTTCAAGTTTTTGTTTGTAGGATAAGAATATGCATGATTAGTATATGAGTGGAGTTTAAATGCTTAATACGGATGATTTGTCCGTAGTAGCACGTCCCTCCTTAATTCAGCACTGTGATGTTTGTGATGTTTACAATGGTATGCAAGGATGATTACAGTTTCACCAATTAACCCTTAGTCATGAACATGTCTCCCAGGGACCTATATAATAATTTATATCTGGCAGTGGCTTGGGTGGTCAATCCCCTTTTATATTTGTGCAATGTGGGGATTAATAAGGGACGCCAGTATCATCTATTAGTGAACCTGTCTTGAGAAGCGAGGGTCTACATGTGTTCCTTATAAGTTGGTAGGTCCAGAAGATAGCCTGATGTAGGTGTCTTGCTATGCATTATATTGTAGGCCTAGTGGAGATCACGATATATGAACTTTATTGTGTCATTTGGATACTATGTGGGTGCAATATGGGATCTCCAACTGCCCCTTAGTTATGATCTTGCAACTTGAGGGCAAGGGACCACATAATCATGAGAGTTGGCGCACGAGGGTCACATCCTTATGAGGACATTATGGAGTCTATTAGGGGATGCTAACTAAACCTTGATACCCATCTCAGTTGACAGCACTCATAATGTAATGATGATAGGAGTTGGAAAGAGGTTGCACCTTGAAATTGTGAAGCATAATTGAAGGGACTAGTGAGGAGTTATTCATAACGCCCTATACTTCTAAGATACTCATAAAAAGGAAGTGGAGCTCTATGGAGCTAAAAGATGAGTGTCGGTAAACTAAAAAGAGTTTTGTTTAGGGCTAAGTAATGTATACCGAACCAGAAACCTAAGTTGAGTTTGGGGTGAGTTAGTATAGAAGAGTCCGTGACTTAGTAATGTAACTTCAAGGACCTGTGACTTAGTAATGAAACTTCAAGGTTTGGAATAAGACATATTAGCAGATCAACTTAAGTTAAAAAAATAAAACTCAAGAATGCATTATGAACCTATAAGCAAGCTACTTAAAGAAGTATTTTTACACTCATTCATGCTATTTTTTTTTTTTTTTTCAGTTAATAATGGAGTTGCATGATCGGTACGGCTGCATGATCGAGTTGTGGGGTTTTAGGGTTGAGTTAGATCTGAGTTTGGATTTTAACTTTGATGTTTTTTATTGTATATGTTATTGTTTTAAATGTTGTCCCCAAAGTCTTGTATATAAACTTTTATTGTTTTGTGGTAAATCTGCTTATGCATGCATGTTTCAAATTGATTCAAACATTTACATCATTTAAAATTTCCGTGTTAGTAGAGATGGTCCATGGCTCGGGTATATCGAAAAGCAGGACGTTAGATCCTCAGCTTAGAGAAGATTTCCATCAACCGCTTTTGTACTATTTTTTAAAAACATTAGGCTCAAGAGAAACAGTGGATCTACACGAGTGTAGAGTTGTCTCGAGGGGAGGCTTTTACTTTGTCTAGGTTAAACACCTCTCTATGGATGCCTGTGACCAACGAGTTTTGTATTTATTCATTGCTTCTCATCATCCTCAACAATTGATGCGCTTTTATTTAGTGTTTGCTTGTTAGGCTTTTCACTTGGCTTTTGGGTTGGGCTTACATTTATATTTTGGGGTTTTATATTGTTTCATTTACAATGAGGTTATGGTTTATCTATCTCAGTTCATGTAAATCTAAAATATTTTACTTTGAAAAGGCAAGCATAGAGATTATATTCAATAGAAAGTAACCTGCATAAATGTTGATATTGAGAGAAGAGGCTTTTCCCCAACTTTCTGATGTCTAGCCTGCACAATTCATAGCTAGAGTTAATACTAAGACAGATTCATGGGCCATGGGGTCTGTTCAGAAGCAATTCAATCAAGAAACTCAATACTTTTACGTGAAGTTAGATGAAAAGCTCTACCAAACTACAAATTTCAAAGTCATACTGAAACCAACTCATTTGAAAAATACAGGTCTTAGACAAAGAAAAAAAATTAGTGATGCATTGGATTTGGAATCAAAATCAATTAAATCTTCTTACTTTAATGCTAAATTAAGAAAAAGTTGTTTGCGTATCAAAAAAGCCGGTCCCTAAATTTGATGGAATTACATTTATAGCTTAAACTAATTGTTTATCCAAATAACATAAGTGATCTAAAATGAGATTAACTTCTAGTTTTATATGATTCAAAAACCTACTCGTGAGGAATTGTGGCATCGATCACCTATTACATACACCATGGGTTGGCTTCCTAGTTGGCATTATGGTATGTGAAAACAACAAAAACACTTTTGGAAAATCGGATGCCACGGTGGTCACCCATCTAACTAAGATATTAAATTCCTTAAAAGTTTGTATGGAAACTAGATGTTACAAACTCAAGAAATTGTCTATAAGATTAGTCAAGGTCGAGTAAACAAGCTCAGGCACTCACAGATAAAAACAAAATTAACTATTACAAAGGATCACGCAATATAAAGCCCCCTCCCCCCAACTCCCTCCCAAACAAGCAGAAAAGTTCACTAGTCACTGTCTTTCTTATCACCCACAATATAATAAGAATTAAATTATTAATTTGTACCGCAAACAAACAAAATTAGCAACCCGTATAAACTATCATGATTAGGTTTGAGATATCCATTCAAATTGAGCATTACAGGCTCAAAGCCACTTGAGAGTATATTTCGTATATAGTTAAAGGCAAATGATCAGTTTCCAAGATAATAAGTACCTGGATTATCAGCATAACAATAGCAAAGATAACCTTTGTAATCTCGGTCAAAAAGTTGACACTGATTGGACTGAACATGAATTTCCCATCCACCTTGGACATATAAACCAAAATAGGCTGGCAATGAAAATGAATCAGTGTTAGACATCTAAAAACCAGGTTAGATCACGTGAAAATTTGACTTTCTTAAACCAATCAAAATAGCATCAAACAAGAAAAGGAAGATTCATGTGGGGGGGTGCAAGCACCTTCGTGTCTGCTTTTACATGCAATACCATGAACAATTTTTCAAAATTGTGCAATCTTCTAGATATATATATATATATATATATATATATATATATAAGCGTCTATTGTTTTCTTTCTTGATAAGAAATAATTGACTAGATTGCTACATAAACATCAACACTTAATTTTACTTGCTGTGAGGTAAGGACCGTTAATTTATAGAGACAATGGTGGCAGTTGTTCTATAGCACTTACATGCGTTAATGGCTATTTTCTAAGCATTGTGAAGGTTGAACATGCTAACAGAAAAATAGACATATCATATGGGCAAGTTGACAAAAGCAGCAATGATAAAGAAGGGGAGCATGTGGACACTGGCAACAAAGCACGTATACAAGGGGACCGAGAAGGAAGGCTGTTAAGGTTTCTTGATGGTCCAATTGGGCTTAAGGAATAACAGTAATTAGTATGATTTTCATTGTGGAATAAAATCGATGATAGGAAAGATAGATATCCAAGAGTAAGGAGTAGAATTAGGTTCAGTACATCACAGAATGGACAGAACAACAAAAATTTATTTCTCAAAACCATCTCAAAAAGGAAAAGAAGGAAAAATACACACTAAATAAATATATAAAAATAAAATAAAATAAAATAACAGGATAGCCATGGCAGCAGAATCCTTTGCATGATTACATTTCACTGAGAATTCAATTAAAAAAATGCAAGTGCCACCAAAGATAAGTCAAGAATAAGTTGAGATATGGCAATCACCTGCATACCAACCAAGATACAATCACCTACAACCAAGAGGGTGTTTAAGGCTCGTTGCTTAGATGATATTCTGATCTTATGTTGATCATATGCCCTCGATATACCTTTGTTAGTTGGAGAAACCAATGGGGAGTGACAAACACAGCATTCTATCATTCCGTTCTTCATCAGCCTACTGCAAAACTATGCTTGCTCAGACTGACTATATCAAAAAAGCACGACCAACTCTGCGTAATGAGATGAAATCCAACAGACCTAATCAATATCACCAACGAATGAAAAGTTAGTAACCAACACAGACCATTTGCAAAAGATATACATTGCAGCTAATGAAAGTTATATTTCTTATACTAAATTTTTTTTATAAGAGATTTCTTATACTAAAATCAGATAGATACACTGCGGTAGTGTGCATATTGAGATCAAAAGAACAACGTTGTACAACACAATCTCAAAAACTCGGAGGATATTTATTAACAACCGACTAAAAGTAACCACGCAAGACATTCATAGTTCCATAACATTATGATCAGCAAAGAGTCTAATCCCCACCCCCGCCACGACAATGGATGTTAAACCCGAAAATCCTACCCAATCAGTTAAAATGATATAAAAAATAAATAAATAAAACCCGGCCGTAGATCCATCAAGAACGAAATAAAATTCAGACAGATCTTATCAAAAGATCCCATTACTAGACGATTTCAAAGACGAAAAAAACCAATTTCGAAGATCCTCATCAAACCAACTCAACAAATTCAGCTCCACTCGGTGCAGTCGTTTAAGCATCAAAAGAAATGTCTGAATCCACTCAAATCATAAAATCCACCTGTTCTAGACGCCTCCCGCCTCCAGAACCGAGCATTCAAGGAAGAATTAGCTCGCCGAAAATTCCACCGACGGAAAAACTCGTTGGCTAGATCCAACACTTCAGCGACTGCAACAAAAACTCAAGACACGAAACAGTGTTTTCAGATGAAGATAGATTCGGAATCCTCTTCGCATTTATACTCTCTTCAGGAAAATTATATCTCTCTTCGTCTAACCTTATATGGAATTCGAATTGCTGACACATGCGAGGATGAAGCAATATGCACATTTCGCAGAGAGAGAGATCGCGCGAAACGTTTGTTGTTAGAGCTCTGTTTGTCTCTCTCTGTCTCTCTATCTCTCTCTCTCTCTAACCCTTTTTTTTTTTTTTTTTGGTTAAACCAAATTTTAAGTTCCTTGAATTTACATGACGTGTCTGCCGTCGCTCTGTTTAGGATGAAGGTGTTGCAGCGATGGTGACAGACCAATCAACGGCTTGTTCTTTTCTTGAGCTTTAATTTTGTTTTCTTTTTTTTCATTTTAATGCTTCAAAAAGTTTTTATTTTCGTCCCTCAATTTTAAGTTTTATTTTCATTTCTAATATATATATATATTTTTATTTATTTATTTTAGTTTTGAAACTTAGAAGATTTATTTTAATTTTAACAAATATAACTTCAAATATATTAATTTGAACATATATTTAAATAATACCACACCAATTATCATTTTAAATATTAATAGCTTAAGTTTACAAATATAGGCTGATTATTAAAAAAATTATAGTATTTTTTATTTTTATTTTCTAAAGCTCAAATAACCTTAATTACTTTTTTTTTAAGAAGAAAAATACTCCACATTAATTACATTTTTCTTTTTTTTTTTAAGATAAAATAGAGAAATTCGATTCATAAATGGAAATTGTAAGCATTTTTAGGTAAATATTGACTTTTAGTATTTTATTTTCTAAATTAAACTAACTTTTAGTTTAAATTTCTAATTTGGTCCCAAATTTTATTTTCGTAATTATTCCAAATGATTAAATGTATTTTTTAATTTAATTTTTTTTGTTTGAATTTTTTTAACCTTGTTAAAGTCATATGTCAATAAAAAGAAAATAAAGTTTATAGTTTTTTTTTTTTTTGAAATATTTTTTATAACTTTTAAATTGACCCAAAAAAAAAATAATACATAATAATATTTTTTATTTTTGTGTTCAATGTTCATTTATATATATATATATATATATATATATATATATATATTTACAAGAGAATATAAATATTATATCTTTTTAAATAAATGAATACATTGATTATTTTATAAGTTATTTTGACAAACCTAAATTGTAATATACTGAATTTGTAAAATATATATATATATATATATATATATATATATATATATATATAAAATAAATAGGAAAAATAAATATAATAAAATATTTTTGTATAAATAAAGGAATAAGTCAATAATAATAAAAGAAAAAATAAATAAATACAGTGACAGCAGATCTGCTGCCGCCATGGGGGAGATAAGGGAATGGACATGTGGTTGAGCATGAATAAAAGAAGGAAAAAAAATTTGTAGACAAATCGAGATGAAATTCGACCACATGTCCGTTAGATTCATAAGAGTGAGATTATTAAGTTGTAGAAGAAATCGGGATAAAATTCGACCGGTAGGACGAGATTATCGAGTAGAGACATAAAGGAAATTAACGTAAAAGGTCAAAAATTGCAGGGTGGGCGTGAGGTTGAAATGATTGGCACGTGAAGAACACGTGTGCGTGGTTGCGAGTGAAGGTGAGACTGGGCGAGAACTAGGCGCGTGAGATAGGTTATCTTGGTGCGTGTGAGCTTTGTATGACCTCCGATTCATCCCGTTTAACTTATTTTGACCTATTTTATCGAGATTGACCTATATTTATCTTAGACATTATGAATGGTAGGTTCAATTGTAAGTTCTTAATTTATTTTATAATTGTGAACCTATTGATTATGTAATTATGAGTTTAATATAATAAGTATATGCGTATGACATAGGTTAATTTGTGATATCTATGGATGCATGCATAAGATATGAGCATGTTATGAATACAAAATGGAAATGTTATATGAGTGGATCATGTCATGGGCTATATATGAGTATTTTTAGTCTACTAATCTCTGCGGAATTCATGATCGATGTGTTGTGGCCTAAGTTAGGGATAATGAGAATTTTGACCGTCGAATTGTATTATGTTACAGGCTATCAGAGAGTTTACTAGACAGATCATATGTGACAGAGAGTGAGTCTTACATACTGATAAGATATGGAACCACTACAAGGGGAGTAAGATTCGGATTACCTTGTTGATCGAATATCTCAAGGCAAGAACATCGTTTGAGATTCGAATCACTTCACAAGCAAGATCGATCATGTCTAGCTTGAATGATTCTTGTTGATCAAATATCTCAAGGCAAGAACACTTGCTTGAGATTCGAATCACTCCACAAGCAAGATTGATCATGTCGAGCTTAAATGATTCTACATGCAACCTAAACTACATATAATTGCAAAGAAACTTAGTCATTGGCTAAAGAAGAGCACAAATGCTTCTTTTACTATATTTTTCAAGTCCTTTATAAATACAACATACATGGCTTTATATAGGCTCAAAATGAAACTACTAGTCATTCCAAGAATTGTAACATTCATACTTAATGGTCATAATTAACCCTTATGTAATTGTAACCTAAAGTAAATAAAAAGTCCTAAAAACTCTAAATTGTAACCCACCCAAAATTTATAACAATCAAACTTTACTGTTCTTCAATGTGGCATGCATTGAAACATCTTTTGATAATTTTGACAACTTTTTCTTCACATCGTCATTGAAGTATATTGTATGATTGATGTTTTTTTGTTCATATCACATACAGTGTCCGAAAACTGAGATAAACATATAAAATGTTAGCAGTCTAAGCATGAAGTAGCTGGAACACTTTTTAATGAATAAAAGATCTTAGTAAAAGAAACTAGGAGTCAATTGATGAATAAAACTTAAGAATTACTAGAAAGATGATTATTAAAATTTGTAAAACACAAGTTAGCTACTTACTGATTAAATTAATTACTCATCGAAATTATTTTAATTTTTTTTATATAAATAAGCGTGATGTTGAGTGACCGAGGCAATGAAGCAACCGATATTGGTCGGGCTTGCTCCCTTGTGAAAAGAAACTCCCTCCTCAGGAGGCCACGGGGAAATCGACCTTCTTTGCAGGTAACGCATTAGCCTTTGCAATTTTTTCTATCTTTTTTTACTTGAAGTTCGTCTATTATTACCCGATCTCACATCCATAATAGGTGAAATAATCCATTATAAATATAAAATTAAATATAAGGAATTTCAATATCAATATAAAAATAAAAAATAAAAATTATAATATTGTAATATTGTTTCGCTGTTTGAGAGGGATGCAGAAAGCATGTACTTTCACTCATGGTCTTCTCCATCTTTTAGGCCTTTATATAATATATCATGCACACCATGCCGCAAGTTCACTCATCTTTTATGCTATTCATGAGAGTTATGTTTACGAGAAAATGGAGGTATGACTTGCATCATATGTATATGTCATGACTTAAAGTTATGGGGACATCATACATTTTGTTTAACACGTGTATCATGATACTTCCCTATTATGATTAATACGGACATGTACACTAGTACACTTTGATATTATTTGTGCTCCTTTCCCTCTGTGGCTTTTCAGCCAGCATGGGTGTACACTAATTGAAAGCCCGATCCAATGATACATATATGGGCTTACGTGGGGGCCAATGTGCAAGTGCGTAGAGAAGTACTGTACATCAAATTCGGCATGAATTGGACAATAGAGACCAATACTATGATGTTTTACGAAATGATACGTTCCATCATGATTATATCTGATTGCATTTCCTAACTCAATAGTGAGTTACTTATCGAGTATTTTTAAATACTCAAGCCACACACTACTTATTTTGCAGGTAAACGTAAGACATCCTGTACGAATGATGACATCGCTATATATAACGATCACATTTTGAATAAGTTGGAGAAAATAAAAAATAAATAAATAAACAAACATAAACTTAAAAATATTTTATTTTTTAAATGTAATAATATTTCATATAAATTAGTAATTATTATTATTTTATGAATTTAATACTACGTTAATTCAGACTCTTAATTTAATTATAGGTGAAAGGACAATAATAAAAATAAAATCCTGTGTACATATGATTATTAATTTATTTAGTTGTAGGTGTGAGGCTGTGAGAGGGGGTGGGTGACGGTGGGGTGATTTGAAGATTACTCCACGACGGGTAATTTGGAATTTCAGGTCGGCCGTTTCTTTCCCAACCAATGGCTGCCATTCCAAACAAATTCTTTAATTTAATTTTTTTATAAAATTATTTATAATTCTACTCCCATTTATTTACCTGCCATGTTTTATTTAATTAATCAATTAATTTATTTCCCTATTTTAGGGCTTTAAGTAACCATCTATATCCATTTCTCATTCGCAAGATGGGTTACCAAATTATCTAGCAACCGGCCTAATTAATTTTGTTCTCTATTGTTTTTAATCTTTCAATAATTAAGTTTATATTTATTTTAATCTCGTAATCAGTCATATTTATCTAATTTCAATCTTATTTAATATTGCATGTTTCAAATTAGGTTCACTCCCCCGACCCATTCAATACAAGAAATTTGAGTAACTCCAATAAAATTTGTCCATTTTCCAATAGATACTTATTTTCTTTGTTTGTTTCATAAGTCAGGGATAATATTATCTCATTAATTTTCTTTATTAAAAAAAATCAATCTTGAGTTTTTAAATATCTTCTTGTATATCGAATGGCTTTGGACTAGGGTTATACATTTTTTTTAGAGGGACGTGAAACCACGCTGCTAGATTTAGTAGTTGGCCAGCATGCGCGGTTTCTCTCCTAGTTTTAGTTAGGGGTGTACATTCAACTCGACAACCCGAACCAACCAACCCAAACTATAAGGGTTAGGTTTGGTTGGATTAGTAATTTGGGTAGGTTGGGGTTCATTTTTCTAAACCCAAATTGATTCGGTTTGGTTTTGGGTTCGTGAGACAAAACCTTCGAATTGACTCGAGCAAAAAATATTTATATAATATATATTAAGAAACTTACAGTAATTGTTATTTTGGCAGGGTGGTACTTCGGCCTAACTAAAAACTCGAGCGCAAGTTTGATGTCAATCAAATACATTGTTTCTTTTATATTATTTAAAAATTTGTTATAGTATTTTTGTAATATAGGGTATCTTTAAACCAATCATATTTTCGATTCTTCTTCTTGATTAA